TCCCTTTGTTTATAAAGTATTTACTACAGGCCTATTATTTTTATGACTACCATTATATGCTAACAACTATGGTACCCATATATTTAACATAACAAAGTATTAATATTACCTATGTTAAAACATAGATTGATAGATTAATGTATTAATTAATATAATTATATCAATATTATCAATATGTGTTGTAAACAAAACATTTCATTTTTCATTCAAATATTATTACTATTGACTAACAAGAATACAAGATTATAACTTTTAACTTTTACCAAACATAGTAGAAAACAAGTTATAGCTGACTTTTCACAAATTACAAATGGGATAGTTAAAACTAAAGGAGATTATGATGGAGCAGTTAAACAAATTTAAATGATTATAATCTTAACAAATTATTCTTTATTTTATAAGATTATTAAACAAATGGGTACTAATGTTTATTTATTAATAATAAATAAATTCAAATATAAATAATAAATATTATAAACAAATAACATTGAATATTTTAATTTAAAAAAAAAAAAAAAAACAAAAAAGGTTTATGAAATTGAGAAATTGAGAAGTAATGTGATAACATAGAGAACAATCACCGGTAATTTAATATCTATGCCAATCTGTATATATAAAACAGTAAGCTGATTGACTGCTATCAAAGCACAGCTCAAACCATTGGACGGATCTGGCTGAAATTTGGCATACAGATAGCTATTATGATGTAGACGTGCGCTAAGAAAGGATTTGCCAAAATTCGCATTTTAAATAGGTGCTGAAACAGGGACATTGAGATTCACGATAGAAATTGGAAATTTTATTTTTATTTATTTATAGTTGCCATTGGTTACAGTCTACATTATAATTAAGTATATTGTCTCAAAACAATTTAAACATCATTTAAATTTACAACATTATTTTATTTATTTTGAAAGTCTAATACAAAGTCAAATAACAATAAAATATAAGATCGATATGTCATTCCCTCAAAAATATTATTATCTATCTTTTTTTGTAATGAGTGATTTTACTCTAGATTACATAAAAACATAGAAAAAATGCTTTTGTGTAAATTCGTTTTGTCTATGTTTCGTGTTGGTGGGCGAGAAAACAAATAGTGCGCTGACATCATCTTAAATATTGTACATTAAATAATTATTTAACTTCTTAAATCTTAACTATTAATTATATAGGTACTATTGTATTTATTATTTTATTGAATTGTATTATTTCACACTTTTTTTAAATTAATTTACCTTTTCATGGTGTGAGACATTTGTTGTCGGGACTCATTTTCCTGGAACTTTTTATCTGCGATTTGTCATTAAAAAAGCCCCGATATAAAATTACCTTAAACAAAGCACTGCCTATAGGAAAAAAAGTCCTGTGAAAAAAAGTCCTGTACCAACTAAATATACATACAAAAAATATGTACAATATATTTTTTTTTAATTCCCGAATTCTCGATTTGCGTCGACGGCACTGGGTCAATTTTCATTTGATATCAAATTATTACTATTAAAGACCTAAATTTTGTTCACTAAAATAATAGCATACAATTATGAAAAAGGCCTACATAGGGAATTTTCAGTAATATAAAGTTATTTCACGTTATATTATACCACTATAGCATTGACATTTTGACTGGTGAATATATATAAATTATATTGTTAAGTACCGAACAATATAAATTTAATTTAATATCAAAAGCTTATCAATTATTGGGTAATAAAAATGCAATTTATTGACAGTTCTGTAGGTCCTAGGCCATTGAATCTTGAGTTAATTTAAAAATCTTGGATTTAAAAAGAAAAATTTTTATGAATTACCAACTCAAAATAATTTGCAAATTTTCGTCATTTTTACATATTTTGTCAAAATTTCAACTTTAAATGCTTAGAAAAAAAAGTGGTGACTACGGATTTTTAATATTTTTCATCTGCCTTTGAAACAGTATATTTGGAGCCTTCTATTAATATTTTCAAGATTTTGTACCCAACAAATAAAATTTTATTGATATTTATAGAAAAAAAACCTAAAATAATTGAAAACTGAAATTTTCCATAAATAGCTCAAAATAAATCAAAATATTTTGAAAACGGTATGGTGTATAGAAAATGCTAACATAAATATTCAATTAAAATTTCATGTATCTATGGTCATTTCTTTTCTAGTTACACCAAAAACCAAAATCGGTTTTGCGTAAAAATTCTCATTTTTCTCTTAATTTTTCATCTGTTTTTTCCGGAACTTTTGAGAGTTACTGAAAAATGTTTACTTTTGACCCCCCAAGTACAAACTAGATTCACTTTCCCATCAGAAAAGGTACTATTGAAGAAAATCTAAGCATTTTTACTGTCCTAAAACGTGATTGATGACGTGATTAAAAAAAACATACATCATTGTAAGACAAATATATTCATCGCTCCGCTCAGAATCTAGAATTTAGGAAAAACAGGAATTTGTACCCAAAATCGATTTTGGTTTGTGGTGTTAAGCTGTTTACACACCACGCGTTTTTAGACGCTAGCGTATAGGTAGGCACGCGTTTTAACCTGCAGTGGCGACGAACTAAATTTTTTTGGGTGTGGTAATGAACAATAAATTATACCGACCCACCCCCATAGGATTATTGTAATATAAAAAATATTTTCACAAGTTATAATATATAAATATTTACAATAATTTTTAATTAAGATTGAAATAATTTATCACAATTGATACTTTTGGCTTTTCATTAACTTAACAGTTAACTTACTAATTTTATTTTTTAATTAACGTGAAATAACGAGGTTATTTTTCATTTTAAGAAGTAAGTTAAGTTAATTTATTTTGTTTTTAATAATTATTAAATTTCAATATTTCAGTCTATTTCTTTTTCATGTCAAAAATATGTATCATAATTCATAAATTGTTTAAAGTTAAAAATGTCAATCATTCGAGTCTAACTTATATGGAAATACTGTACAAAGTATAAACATTATAATTTATAATTTATTTTTGGGTTTGAAAAAAATTAAGTACCCTAGCGTTATATAAACAAATTACCTTTTTTTTAAACATAACTGAGTTAACCTACAGTTAAATTAACTTTTAACTATTAACTTTTTGTTATTGGTGCATATTAACTTAACTTAACTGAGTTAAAAAAAATCATTGACTTACCCAACCTTGTGATATTATACTATTGGGAGAAATTATTAGCATTTTTTGTTTTTCTAAATGATTACAATTGATTACATATTATATTGATATTATAATTAGAAGACATTTTGCATAATATACACTTTGTACAAATATAACTACAAATGTTAGGCCTGGACAACGTAGGGTGGGACAGCTTGTAATATAATACAATCATAAATTATTTCTATTGTAGGTACTTGTTTATTTTTAAGTAAAAAAAAGTTATACTTTTAAACGTTGTATGATATTTATGTAGTTAAGTTTATTGCACCTACTACCTACCCTATGATATCAAGTAGGTACCTATAAGATTATATAATAATAAATTGTATCTATTGTATCCATTGGTGCAAATAGCATTTGAGATTTGGGGGGCTGAAGAACTACTATAAAGTAATATTGAATATGATTGAAAAAACTTTAGGTAATGTATGAGGGTTGACATTTTTCGGATTGAAAATTTACAACAAGATTCTACGTAAATAGCTTATATATATATAAATTACTTTATTCACAATTACAATAATATCATCAAATACACTTGGCAATGTCATAGGCTGACCGTATTCGCTCTGAATCGTTTTTCTTATACAATAATATTATATCATTGAATTCAAATTTAACACCATCAATTACAATGACCCACTTTGTAACCTACTGTACAGCAAAGCGAAATCCACTTACCCACCTTTTTATATAATATTTTATTTTATTGCGTTGAAAACGCATTGTGTGGTTGCATTTTGCCAAAGCGGTTGAAACGCTAAGTTCCAACCTCTCGCGTTTCAACCGCTGTGGTGGCTCTAAAAATCATGAGCATTAAAAAGCTGGTTACATATCAGACGAATAAAACACATACAATAAAAAACTTATTAGGAATCTTGCATACATGTATAATGTATTAATGTGTATGACGTATGTAGATATTATAAAAATTAAACATATTAGGTACTTTATATTATATCACTTTAGGTTGTGCTATTTATTATTAAATGTGTATATATTAGTATATTACCTACCTATACATATATTCCGATAGTATTAAGCCCATATAATTCCAGGCCCTAAATGAATAAATATTATTTTATATAATTTATATCGACAAATGACAATCTACGATTATATCATAATATATAATCCTTGCTTGCGTAAATTAGATGAAAGTGTAAATTAATTTTTTGACACTTTTAAAATAATGATTATGCGCCTATACATTTGTTATAACTTATAAATAACCTACCGAATATCGAATTTAAAAGTTATTTTCTGAAAAGGTACAAAAAAAAGTAGGTATATTACATTTTAATGTAACTAGGTATACGTATTTTCCAATAGTTCCATCATCTACTCTCATTAATCTTTATATTATTTTTATTATCTGATATTTTGTGCCAGTTGCCGACCAATGAGCTGTCTGACAGTCCAAGTGCAGTGATGTACCATGTACACTGTACAGTGTACACCTATGTCAGAAGAGTGAGAGTAGGGAGTGATCAAGTCAAAGTCTATAAAAGGCCGTACAACAAATATTTGAACGCCTTTACAGTCTTGACTTTTACACTGCAGCTAGTACCTAAATCTTAAATATATACTGTTCATTTTTTTAACCACCTATAATACTTATCTACAAACATAAAACATTATACGTGTAAGTATTTTGAAATTTTACAATGCTAATATTTTATAAGACATTTAAAATTTAAAATTAAAATATTTAAAAAATTGTATTTCTTGACTAAGGTTTTGATTGATTAATTGCATTATTTGTTACATAACTTTGTGAAATTTTAAGAATTATTACACGATAATATTATGTTCCTTAACTTTTCAGCATGGCTATTATTAATTTATCGGAGAGAGAATTGTTTGCCGAAATTGAGGCGGCATCGGCGGCACTGAAGGTGGGTGAAAAGTTGGCCACGGCGCATTGCGTCTCCGAGGACTTCCAGATGAGAAGTGGTATTGCCGTAAACTTCAAGTAAGTACATTTATAGCTTCATTTCATATCATTCATAACTTTATTTTCCAAAAATACGAACATACTCAAGTAATTATAGTTTTTAATTTACATATTTATCTGATATGTTTTGAACATTTTGTAATGTGCTGAAATAAACTGCACAAAATCTGTATAATATGTAGTATTATTTAAAAATAATAATAAAAAAACTGAGAAACTCGCATAGCTGTGTATAATGCGTTTTGTGAAATTTTCAAATATCTAGGGTATTAATTTTTGATTTATATTAAAAAAAATATTTAATTCAATTTAAATTGCAGGCTGAAGTACGGAGCCCTCGGAGCCCTGATGGACCAAAAGGTCCGGGTCGGTGGTGTGGCGGAATTACCTCGGAGTGACGAGGGAGGTAAATTGTGTGTATTTTACCTTGTCACAAAGGTCTTATTCCACCATAAGCCGACTCTCCAATCTCTGGCCGATTCGTTGAACCAGTTGCGGGATCGATTAATCGATTTAAGAATAAATCGATTAATCATCCCAAAGCTTGGGTGCAATTTGGATCGGCTGGATTGGTATCAGGTGCGTGGTCTGCTTTCAGTCACGTTCAGCCAAGAGATGTATATCACAGTATGCGATCCCGAATACGTAAGATTTTTTTATTATTTTTTTTATTTTGTATTCATCGTAAATAATTTGTTGGAAAATGAATTCACTATTTAATTATAAATGTAATTTATATAGCCTGAAATACGAACACATAGAGTGGCGCCTCTGCGGGTGGAAAGCCGGGTATTTTGTGCCACCAACAATGCCCCAGATACCAGGGAATTACTTATACTACCAGGTATACTACCTGTTGATATTAGCAGCGCCAGTACAAATTCGACGTTGGACAGATGTTTAACACATTTTGACTTGAAGAAAGAGTAATTTAAATTTAAATATTTTTATGTTATTTTTAATTTCAATTTTTAAATTCCGTCTATACCTACTGGTCTACATGCAACTAAAATGTTTGTTTCAATTTTTTAATACAGATTAATTTCCAACGGAGTTTGGGCTTCGCTAAAAAAGGGCCAAGTTATGGCCACATTTGCAGCAACGAACAATTTCGTAATATGGTTGAAAGGTGAAGACGACAGTTATTTTAGGACTTTGGAAACCCAAATCGACGAAACATTAACATTGGGGCTCCGTTCGTCGATTTGGGTATTTCCAAAGTCAGAAATGGAGTATTATACGGGGTTTTGTGCATTGGTTAGGTCCAAGCTGGCTGACAATGCACAAAACTTCCAAATCGTCATTTGTGATCCAAATCTGTAAGTTAATTATTCATCGAATGACTTTTTATTATTCTATGATGTTTGGTATTAATTTTCACTAATTTAAAAACTTTCGAAGGTCAATGACAACCGGAAAATGGCCTCGAGGCAGGGCAAATCACCGGCCCTCGCCCATGTCGTCTACGCCTGGCCGTAGCCAAGTCAGTATTGTACGTGGGCGTGGCGGTGAGTACCATGGACGTGGTGGTCGTGGTGGACGTGGTGGACGTGGCCGATTACGTGAACACGGCCGATATGATGAACACGGCCGATATGGCGAACCCACCGACATTTATTCAAACGCGTTAAATGCATTGGGGCACACTGTATCATCAATTGTATCAGTCGGTTAGTTTCAACAGTATAATATTTTAGAAACTTAGGGCCGTTCTTACAATATCCGGTTAAAGTTAACGGACACTGAACCAGAGGAATTCTGCCGTTAAAAACTCTGTTGTCAGCCGGTTTTCGTTGACTGACACTTAACTGGGCATTGTAAGAATGGTCCTTAATTGTATAAGTAATAACATTTAGCTAAAAAATAAAAATAAAAATGTTATATTATTATTACAATATAGTACAAATGGCCACACAGAGTGCAAGTCCGCCCACGCAACCCACGCCAGGACCTTCGTGGAGCAATGCAAATTATACTCGTGGACGGGCACGTGGATGGGCACGTGGACGTCAAACCATTATGTGTCATAATTGCAAACAATTTGGCCATACACGGCAGTATTGTCCTAATAAGTGTAAGTACCTGGACAAATGATTTAAAATTAATATTTATTTTACATTATGTAAACTTCAATGAACACTTCGTAATCCGCAATGTTAATATAAATAGTTTACGCTACCTACGCATGATTCACCCAGGGTAAAGGGTTGTTATGTTGAAAACACGTTTCAATATAAAAAAAAAACTTATTTATTTTGTTTTAAACGATTGAAATACATATTTTAAGTATCAGCAAAAAACGTGTGTTTAAAGCAATACGTTTAGTAAATTTTTGTTGAAATAGCGTTAAAATAGCGTTTCAAACGTTTCTTAACATGTTTAAAATTTGTTTTTTTTTCGTTTAAAAAGCCGCTTACTTAACCATACTGTATTTAGTGTATTTAAAATCTAACCACCACACCCCCTACCCCAAAAAAAATTGTCGACGTTTATAATATATCATAGGTTAATGTGTTATACGTTTCGAAAAATAAAGCTGTATCAATTATGGTACTAAACGAATTATTATCTCTATTTTACACATCCTGTTATCCTAAATTGATTTTCCACGTATTTTCCAACACTGTTATGTAGTTTTTGAAATATTTGGGTAAACTAGTGAGCTTTTATTAATTCAACTATAAAAGCAAATTATAGCCTATAGGTATTTTCACGTTTTTTATATTGCATACATTCATAACTACCTAGCTAATAACCAACGAGATAATAGGTAAAATTACTTTAATGTTAAAAAAACGACTAAGATATTAATATATTATACATATTGGTATATACTTGATACTACATATTCCATCATTAAAATACAAAAATAATGTATTAAAAATACGGAATGTATTTCTATAATTTACTTTGAATTTATGTACTTACAGTTTATTGAATTTATTCTAATTTATATTATGTAGTAATCATTAAATACATTTTTCTCAAAAATATGCTATGAAACTTATCCTATAAGCTCTTAATATGTCGTAATTTCAGATATTAGGCAGGCACTTTACATTTTCACTTATGAAATTGAATTAAAATTAAAAACCAAACACTAACACATACACGGGCTAACATAGCGATACGTTTACAAATTCGCAACTGCAGTAGGTACTAAACGTTCCCAAATCAATATCTAAAAGGCTAAAACATACCAAACATAGATAAAATATTACAACCGATAAGGCGTCAAACCAATAACGCGATTACCAAGTCGGCGTAGTGATACTCGTAAGATCGCGACTAATGACTTACGAGTTCCGATAAAACTTTTTGTCTGTGCAAAACCTGACATTCTAGGGTTCAAAATAGGTGTGATGGCGTAAAAAAATATTTAAATATAATTTTAGTTAAGGATGGATAAAAATGAAGTTCTAAACCTATGATTTTAATCTATTTGTTTCTTTTTTCCAGGAATTGCTGAATTTTTTATATATATGTTGTAATTTCTAATATTTTTTTATAATTTTTTTTTTTTGAAGTGAAACTTCTTATTTTAATAATATTTTTTCAATTATTTAGTCAAAATTTTTTTTTTATTAAACCTTTTTAAATTATTTTTTGAATACTTGAGGGAAAACCTCGCTTACGTTCTCCACAATACAATTATATTATATACATACATTATATATTGCATTATACATTATATTATAACAATTATAAAATAACGTATTACATTTTGAGTATTTTATAATAATTATTATTAAACCTACATGGTTTCCAGTTTTACTCTTTCTAATGTCAAAACAAATTTGTAATATAATGCATAAGAAAAACAAATATATGTATACTTATTTATATTTATAATTATATTTCGTAGTTGTATGATATCAGCAATAGCCTATATTATATTATTATTATTATGTACCAACTGGCTACTATGCCAATTGAGATAATTGTATTATAATTATATATACCTACATAAACTTATAACTAAAATCTGTATGTTTATTTAGAGGTTATACACACACATAAGTCTTAAATTATAATTGTTTTGTTTTATTTTTAATGTTAATAGTTGTTATTTGATGTTAAAAAAAAGGAATACACGTTTTGTAATTAAATATTGTTTCTAATTTAGAAATTAAATAGATATATAGCATACATATTTATTGGACTGTGTAAAAGTTCTAATCCCATATTGTAAATATAAACTTAAGGATAAGTTAGTATTAAAATGTAAACTAATATATATAATTTAATTGATATTTTAAATTACAATGAATAAATGTATAAAGTTATAGTCTTATAGAATATTGAATATTTGTATCTGTTAAATTATTTTACCATTAAATATAAATTTTAGGATATTAACCAGAAATGGGTAGAGAACCAACTACTTAGTCATCATTCAGTTTATATTTAAACAGGTATATAACTGCATAATATATATAAAAAAATATCGTTATTTGCTTTTCATTGAATAATGCCGTGTTATTAACTCTTGCGTAGGTACTTTAAATTTTTTAATTGTATAATATGATTAATGTATAATCCAATAAAAGGTTGAATTTTCTAATAAATTATCAAGATGTACAACGACACAGACTACTAATAAAGTAAAGTTTTATTTTTCTAGAGCCCAAGTCCCTCGAGTGCCCCCTTCGAAATATACAAATTTTGAAACTGCGTTGGTTGTCCTTTCGTTTAAAAATGGTTTGACAACTCGCAATTCGGGTGTTCGTTTCGAAAAAGCCGTTCTAAGTACAACGCACAGTCGAAATACGGCAGTATCGTAAAAATCACATAGTTGCAATCTTATTATTTTTCTGGAGCCCTTGTCCCCTGAGTGCCCCCTTCGAAATATACAAATTTTGAAACTGCGTTGGTTGCCCTTTCGTTTAAAAATGGTTTGACAACTCGCAATTCGGGTGTTCGTTTCGAAAAATATTTTCTAAGTATACCACGTAGCCAATTCGCCTCTAAACTCATAAATATCTAATAGTTTTAATCTTATTATTTTTCTGGAGCCCAAGTCCCGCGAGTGCCCCCTTCGAAATATACAAATTTTGAAACTGCGTTGGTTGCCCTTTCGTTTAAAAATGGTTTGACAACTCGCAATTCGGGTGTTCGTTTCGAAAAATATTTTCTAAGTATACCACGTAGCCAATTCGCCTCTAAACTCATAAATATCTAATAGTTTTAATCTTATTATTTTTCTGGAGCCCAAGTCCCGCGAGTGCCCCCTTCGAAATATACAAATTTTGAAACTGCGTTGGTTGCCCTTTCGTTTAAAAATGGTTTGACAACTCGCAATTCGGGTGTTCGTTTCGAAAAATATTTTCTAAGTACAACGCACAGTCGAAATACGGCAGTATCGTAAAAATCATATAGTTACATACTTAGAATTGGTACCTACTATTTTTTTTTTGACCAAAGCTCCTTCTAACCAAAATTCCTGTTAATGGAAAGTACCTATACCTAAGGTACTTTATATTTTTGATTTATAATAATTATACATTTATATATAAATCAATAAGTATATTAATTATTAAAAAAATTAAAAAAGGTACCTATTAGGTACTAAGTAGTATATTTTACTACTCAGTACTATAGATATTATACAAATATAAATTAGTATTATTGTGTATAATAAGTATAGTAATTATTAAAAAAGTTAAAAAAGGTACATATTATATTATATATAGACATATAGATATATATTGATATATTATATTATTATTATATACCTAGCATATTGTGTAATTGATAAAAATTTTGTTATCAAAATATCAGCGGCAAAAAGCGCGGTAAAAATAATATTTTGAACGGGCCAATGAAATTGTTTTATTTTATACCTAGTGCCGAGACCATGTACACTTTGGTAATATGCAACCCGGCTGCCGGGATTTTCGATAATTTGCGCCATCCGTGATATTTTGAAT